TCTGAAGCCGTACTGCTTCTCCGAGAGGATCCGGTTTTTATCGAGATACTTAAACAGCTCCTTCCGAATAATCTTTTCTAATATTTTAACAACCATACTAGTTGGGCTAACGGGGCGGTAGTTCTCAGGTTTGTGTTTCGTGCCTGTTTTGAAGACAGGACTTACTATGGCGTTTTTCCAATCTTTCGGTAAACGACCCTGCGTAACGGATAGGTTAAAGCATGTACTTAAAGGGCTTGCAACGAAGTTAGATAATTCCTTCAGTAGCCTAAGATGTAATTCATCGGGCCCCGCGGATTTACCTATGTCAAGCTTATTTCAGTCAGTCAGTAACAACGTAGAACTTAGTACGTACGTACATCAGTTCGAGTTGCCATACCACATTAGCACAGAGATGCAGTGGTCGATTCAAATCCCGTAGTGGTAGAGGTAGCAAGAGTATAAGCAGTAATCGGGAAGATTAGGGTTTGGAGATGTTATTTAACGAGTATAATCCAGTGAAATAAATTTGGAAAGAGGAAAAAAAAGGGGCATGAAGAATTCAGATAATTAGAATTTGGGAGAACATAGAGAGTGGATGCACCTGCGCCATTGCAAACGATTTTGAGCCATGTCATTCAGGGTCTCTAACCATCGGTTGCTATCATCTCGCGGTCCCCAACCAGGTAGTCTACACCTACCAACATGACTCAGTCCACTTGTCAGTGACTTCATGGATTTGTGCCATGTTTTGGTCTGGCCGCCCCTAGCTTTCTTCCAACCTACTCCTATACCACTGAATATAGCACGCCGAGGTAGTCGGTGGTTGGGCATACGTAACACGTGTCCCAGCCATCTCAACTGATGAAGTTTCACTACTTCATCAATTGATTTGCCATCCTTACCTAGTACCCGTTTCCTAACAGCTGCGTTACTTACTCGGTGGTCCCAGGATATACGAGCAATACTTCGAAGACACCTATGATCAAATACTAGTAACCTACGAATATCCTCTACTCTTACCGGCCATGTTTCACAGCCATAAAGTAGGACGGAACGAACTGCTGCGCAGTAAACACGTCCTTTGGTTGGTAGACGGATATCTCGCCTACGCCATAAATGACGCAAGTTGGCAAAAGCTAGTCGAGCCTTCTGTATCCGTGCTGAGATTTCGTCACACACCAGACCACAAGGGCTGACGAGACATTCAAGATAAGTGAAGCGGTCGACACACTCAACTACTTCACTCCCTATCACTAGTTCGGGTGTCGATGTAACCCAATCCTGAAGCAACATTTTGCATTTCGAGGGAGAGAATCGCATCCCGAACATGCTTGCATTGTTGCTTAGAGTGGTCAGAAGACTCTGCATTTTGTCAGCGTCTTCACCAAATAAAACTATGTCATCTGCATATTCTAAGTCAACAAGTGAACCTCCCGGTAGAAGTTCAACCCCTGGAAATTTAGATGAGGAGAGTGTTATCTCTAAAAGTACGTCGACCACAAAGTTGAACAAGAATGGGGAGAGTGGACAGCCCTGACGAACACCACTTGAGGTAATCAATTCTGATGACAGTTCACCATAAGCTCTCACTCTACCGGTTGTGTTCGAGTAGAGAGCCTTTATAAGGTTAATGTACTTCTTTGGTACTCCTTTCAATGACAAACACTGCCATAGAACCTCACGGTCAACAGAGTCGAATGCCGCCTTGAGATCGAGAAATACTACCATTGTGGGGCGTCTGAATGTGTGTCTGTGTTCTAGAACCTGACGTAGTGTGAATATCTGATCTATACAACCACGTCCAGGTCGAAAACCAGTCTGATTTTCTCGAGTCTGCTCTTCACGAGCTTTGATTAAGCGTCGAAGTATTATTGAAGCTAATATTTTAGACACTATATTAGTCAAACTGATTCCTCTGTGATTGTCACAAGAGGACTTTTGTCCTTTCTTATAAACTGGCACAATCAGTGATTGAGACCAGTCAGATGGGATTACGTCCAGTTCCCAAATTCTACCTAAGACCTCGGTTAATCTCATTGCTAATACTGGACCACCATCCTTAAAAATCTCAGGAGTAAACCTGTCAGGGCCTGCTGCTCTCCCTCGTTTCAGATTTCCTATGGCTTTTTCAACTTCATAAAGAGACGGAGGACCTACATTAACTTGCCATTCAGGTTGACTGGAGATCGTGGGAAACCGAAGTGTGGCTGAAGGCCAGTTGAACTGATCCCTAAAGTGTTCTGCCCATCGATCCGATCTCCTGGATTGAGAATGAATAATATGTCCATCTTTCTCTGATATTGTTTCGCTAACAGTCGGGTTCCTAATTCCGGTTTCCCTAACGAGTCTAAACAATTGTCTGCTATTACCTATTGCCGTTGCCTTTTCCATCTCTCTTGCTTTCGCTACCCACCACTGTTCGCGATCATTGCGTAGACTTCTTGTCAGTTTGCGCTTAAGCTGACTCCGCTCTTCACTATGTTCAGAGCCAGGTGGAATGAGTTTCCGAGCATCTATCAGTGCGATAGATGCTGCTGAGATCCAGTGTTGCTCCCTAACCTTCTGGTTTACCTTACTAGCACATATCACTGCTGTTTCCACAGCTTTTCGGATATCATTCCATGATGCCTCGGGGTGGGCATCACATACATGGCTGCCTAACTGTTTTCCTAGTTGTTCCTGAAATATACTCTTAGCTTGACTATCATTAAGTAGGCCCCTAAGAGGTTTCCTTGCAGCGGTTTTCCTACGTCCAGTAAGACGCAAGCAAATACGCGCTCGTACTAGAGCATGATCTGAACCTAGGCATGTGCTCCAGAATGAGCGACAGTCTTCTATCGAGCCCCTCCATCGGTGGCTGATAGCGATGTGATCTATTTGGGTCCAACGTTGGGACGAATTAGGGGGTCGCCATGTTAAAAGATGTTTTTCCTTATGCTTAAAGTTAGTATTTGCAAGGAACAGGCGATTATCTGAGCATAGCTGCAACAGACGGTCACCATTATCTGTTCTTTGAGCCACTATACTATAAGATCCACCCAGGTGTCTTTCTCTATCGCTTAGTTTACCTACTTGAGCATTAAAGTCACCGGCCACTATTACTACATCCGAGCGCTTAGCTTTTCGGAGAAGGTCCGAAAGCTTTCTGTAAAACTCATCTTTTACATCATCTGAGCTGCAGTCAGTGGGAGAATAGGCAGAGACGACGAAGAGGCAACGACGAGTGTCCCTATCTTTCCGGATTCTTACTGTTCCGTTCAGTCGGACAGCGCACAAACGACTGTCTACTGGGATCCACTCTAAGAGAGCTAGTTCTGCCCTAGGACTCAATGCTATACCTACGCCGGCGAGGCCACGGGAAGCAGAATCAGGGCTTCCAGATACACGAAGCGTAAATCGAGTCGGTTCTTTATTTTGGCATGGTGAGGTCAAATGAATGATGCTACTTGGATCTTGTATGCGCGTTTCGGAGACGCAACACACATAAATGGCGCGAGATTCTAAAGTCCTAGCTAAGGAAGCCTGCTGTCCTATTTGGCACAGTGTTCGTACGTTAAAAGCTCCTACGTGTAGTTTAGAGCGTGGTTTGAGGAGACCAGGAATAGAGTTCCACGTACTCGAATCGTTTGCCCTAGCGGTGCGAGGTGATAAAGAGACGTGAGGAGGGTTAGTCATGGAGATAAGAGAGGTATCAGAAGGTGCAGGAAGGATTTGAATGTGACCAACTTGGTCTCGCGTGCTGTTACGGGTATGAGGGCTGATGTCACTTCCCGGCTGCCCACACCGTGGAAGGGTATTTCTTGAGGAACCTGAAAAGGAAATTGGATTAGTGTTGGTCTTAACGACCTGGGAGCGTGACCGCAGAGCCCAAGGGACAACTGCTTGAGGCCGGTCGCGCACGGCCTTTTCGTGGAAGGTTTTTGACGTGTTAGCTCCGTTCTTCAGATGGCCTTACCGCCGGAGACGGAAATCCGTGAGGTAAGGTGAGGTGTGACATTTTTAGGGTCGACCTTTTCTAACCCCACCCCTCCTTGTGGGAAGGCAGCATCGCTGTCATGCTGATTGTCCGAAGGAAACACCTTACTGCTGTCACACCTCTGTACAGTCAGCAGTACGACTTCGCCCCCAGACTTTGAGTTGCTGCTTTTAGTCTTACCGTTCACCAATCGACCTGCCTGGCATGGTAGAACCTACAGGAACATATGTTCCAGCCAATATAGCTCGGATGGGTCATCACGATAGGCAAGCCCGACCACCACGTCAAGGTAGCAGCTTCGGTCGGGCTTATTTAGCAGACCAAAGACATCGAGTTCTTTAATGGTCACGCTATCCAGTGTATGTATGGGGGGATCTGTATACGCTGACGGGAAGGGCGCTTCTATGGTATACACGTTGCTAAAGTAGTTCGAGAACGCTTGAGCCTTACCAAAGTCGTCCTCTACTAAGGATGAAGCAGTACTGTCTCCCCATAGAGCAGGAATATTCATTTTTCTCCTTGTCCTTTGGTTTATATAGGAATACAAGCGTTTAGGACATTCCTTAACAAGTTTTTCTTCGTACAATTTTCTAGACTTACGGAGGATCGAGGCACAAGTGTTCCGAGCCTTTCGATACTGAGATTTTGACTCATCAGTCCCCAGTAACCTAAGTCTATCCCACATTTTCCTTTTTTTACGGAGAAGGATACGGACCTCCCTACTGAAGCATGGTGGTGAGTTTCTCGGCCCCTTTGGTATAGTCCAAGAGATGTGAGGTGTGGTAACTTTCAAGTATGAATTTCGAAATGCGTCCCAGGCCGTTTCAATGGAGGACTCTGGGTCGCATCTAACCGCTTCCAACCACCGATACCACTAATTAAGCGTTGCATTGAAGGTCTAATAGATACTGGCTATCTTGAACGAAATCCAGATGATCCTGATCAATACAGTTGTCTTGCATAATTTCAAGTGCTTTATTTTTAATAAATTACAAATTTATTGGGATGCTGTAAATATCAATAAATAACACATTATAAGGGATTAAATTGCTCCTGTTTTGCCAAGTTGTTCTTTTAAAATCATAATGCTACGTCGTTGATCCTCTGGTAAGAGAGCAAGTTGTTCATCTGAAAGCTGAAGAACTTGCATAATAAGTGTGACTTTTTCTTGTTCACTTTGTCCTGCTAGTAAACTATTGGGACCCATACTTGCAGCTGCCGCTGCAGCAATTGCAGGAGTAATCTGAGCAGCGGGTGGTCAGAATTGTTATTATCTGAAATATTAGGGCTTTCCCGGGCTCGTTCTTTTGACAGTCAACCCATATCGCTTTAAGTATAGATTTTAAAGCTATTTATGAGTTATAAACTGGGATTCAACGATATTAAACAATAGAAATTAGATACCATGTCATCGTAACGCACACTTCAAACGTACCGCGTATAGTTACTGATTTATTGCTAGAGATCAATGAGTGAGTGTGAAACAACAATTCGATAACTAAGTTATCAGAAACTAAACATGGAGCAGTTGGTGTAACGGCCGAACCACCAAAGTTCGGTTGGAACAACGGACTGACGAACCCAAAATTTATTCGATTAGACCAGACCAAGTTCCTCTGTATAGCTCACAACGCGTCTTTGAGATACTCGTATTATATTATATCAAAACACAAACAACGTGCTGAATATAAACGGTTCTAATTAAGAAAACAGAACAAATTACATCAAAAATACAAAATACCTCAAACGGTACAGCCTGTGCTATACAGTCAGAAGTTTCTCTAACGCAAAGTAGTGCGCTAAACAATGAAAGAGACGGTTAATACTAAAGGGTTTGATACCTGAGAATCAATACAAATATTCCCAATAAGATGGGATCAAATATCTATCTGCAGGGATTGCAGCAGTTCTCCCAAGCAGACAGTCAGAAGGTTAACAGTCACAAACTGAACCACGCCGTGACCTTGAGCTTAGTCAAACACAACCTTACTGTCAATGGTCCGGCCACATGCAATAGAAAATTAGGTAACAAAAATAAGTCTTTAATCAAAATCACATAGTAAAGGCTCGAACGGGGAAGACTGAAGAACGAAAGACATGGTTAAACAAGATCGAAACAAAGGTTGGAATACACAAAAGGGAGAAGGAACAAATAAATGGAAATACTGTTCAACAAAGAAGCTGCAGAGGGATTTTCACTGTTCTCTTTCCGTTACAGTTGGTCTGCCTAAACCACAGTATGGATTGATCACTGATATTTGTGAAATTGATCTGGATTGCATATTATGTACCAGTTGAATGGTTGAACAATTAATCACACAATTTGGAATTATCACGATGAGAAACTAACCATCAAGAATGTCAAATCAGTCAGAATGACAGTGTTGATTGTGACAGAACATGAAACCATAAGAAATTTAATCTGAAAGACAGTAAAGGAGGATATCGAGAAACTCATTGAATTGCCAAGTCAATTAATTCTGAGCAGTGCTTTTTGAAAAGAAATAGGTTGCTTTTTGGGCTGACTAACCTATGTATTTTTGAGTAATTTAAATACATGTGTAATATTATACATTGAATGACCACTCCTAACGTCTTGCGAAACGGGTCGCTTAGAACACTTCTGGTCTAATGAGTAAATCATGATTACAATTATTCTAACTGATGCTATGAGTTGTATTGATGTAGTTATCGTCAAGCAGTTAGTTATTAACGAGCTTCACCTATCATAATAAAAGAGCAAACACTGAGAAAAGTGTTTGGTTTGAATCCGAATACGTGGTAGCTCCTGAGGATTAAGCAGGTATTCAGTGTTTGACAACGCTTCTACCAGTAACACCTAATATACTTTGTTCCCACCGAGAGAAATCAAAAGACAGAGTCGAGGAGATCGGAAGAGTGTATTTGGCGATAACCAATATATCGGGATTCTCTGATCTAATCTGGCTAGCGATTGCGATAGATGTTGAGCACAGCGTTACCACACGTGATCTGGTGCGCTTGCATGACCGAGCGCCTTCAACTAGATGAGTCCACTAAAACATATGGTCAGCATCCAATGTCGAAAACCTACAGAGCTATTTAGTTTGGGGATTTATTTACCGCTACACTCCCATACATGTAGAATTCTGTTTCCGTTACATTTCCTACTTTAAGTTTGTTTTTACACCGAACTGACAGTGTAAATTTTTTTCTACATGAGCGATGACTTGCTGAGGGGTTTATAAGTTTCATTTTGTGTGTTACCGTTTAAAAATTACAAATACCATTTAAACTGAGTCGAAGCAATAGAGATTTCATTCTTTCTTGTTTTACATCATGGCCGTATTGTAATGAGATATATGGAAAGTTGACATCCTGGGCTATCTACTTACAGCGTCACTTTGGGACCCTGTTCAACCTATGATGAGACTCGTGTTTGGATGTCTAGATTGATGAGTGAACGAAAACAAGCCTAGACCGAATACTATATACTGGTGTCGTGGACAAGACTCAGGTGGGGACAACCAATTTACTATTTAATACAAACTTACAGAACATCTTTGTAAAATACGAGAACCATACAAGAAATGCTTCATTCACAAATCTTCCACCCATTGTCCTTTACATTCTGTCTGATTCTTCCAATTCATAATTCCTTTATATTACCCTTTCCGTTTTCTTGAATTCGATGTTCACAGTCTTCTGTTGCCAGCCATTCAACTTCTGATTGTTGCTACATAAAACCCGTCTGCCAACATAAGTGAAGTACACCACACTAGAACAGACCGACTATCCGATAATGTTAACTCTTCTAATTGAGCACTACATTCACTTTTTAAGCTGTTCTAGTAACACGCAGGCTTGATCTACACAGCAACTTGAGCACGAGTGAAAAGGCGCGAGATTTAGAAGAAACGCCTTACTCCAAAAGTTTGTTTATGTACAGAAAGTCTAGTGTTTTTATAGTATTTATAATATTCTCAAGCTAGAACTACACAGCGATCTGAACACGAGAGAAAAGAACCAAAACAAACGTGAAGTACTTTACCCAATGGGTTCGTTTATGTATAGAAAGTCTAGTGAATTTTTATAGTATTTTAGATATCCTTGGGTTTCCGAAAAATTCTGGAATGATACTGAACATAGTAGCAGTATGAGTAATCATCCAATCAGAAACTCGACATGTGACGTTTCAGTTTCTAGATGTTTCTGGCAAAACGTCTAGTGAACGCTGATTGGATATGATACTTCTCAGTGTTTTCAGAGCCTTTCTTGGCTTAATTTTGAAAAGTTTTCTGGATCTCCGCAACAGATAATGATAGAATTTAAAGTCATTTCATCAGTACATAAGCCTCTTTAGTATAGCAACCATTATTTGCTTACTTTTCTTAATGCTAAACACTTGTAACTCATTTGAAATAATGGTGACTCTTCATAGAAAATCTCACCTGGATACATCTAACACTTTGATTGTGGTTCTCATTTAAGGGAATATTCGGTATGACGGAATTCGTGTATTTGAAATTATCATGTGAATCAAACTTCTGCAGCTTCTCTCAATATGTTTATTTTACTGAATATGCTATGCTCAACAAGGAAATAAACAATGTAACACTCATTCTAATCACGATTAAAATGCGACATCAATCAACATCTATATTAAAATCTAAATTCTGAAATTGAATTGATAGGTAATTCAGTGCCACTGTGTACTGACTATATTGATAAATTTTGAAGTCAACATATGAATATCACGAACAAATGAGGTTACGTACCAATCAAGGGGTAAGGAAGAAAATAATTTATGGGTCAGATAATAGTCCAATCGGCAAATATGAAGAAAAGCGACAAACACAAAGGTCATAATAATAGAATTGTAATGGGTTCTCCATTAGGCCCTCTCTTGGCTGATTGTTTCATGACCAATCTGTAAAATTCGGTACTACGACCAATAATAATGTGTCCACAATTAATAAAATGCTCATGTATCGAACTAGTAATTGTTTTACATTCTCCTTTTAAGAGCCGAACTGAATAGTGTTCCGAGGTGATTTATATAAAAGATATGTGGATTATACTTTTTATTTGTGAAGACGACATGGACCTCAATGAAATCTTGAATATTTCCAATAATTATCACTCATCAATTCAATTGACCTTAGAAGCAGAGGCAAACAATGGATTTTTTCTTGATGTCCGTCTAAAAAGAATCCTTGATGGTTTTTTACAGAGATCTGTATATAGAAAACCTACCTGGAATAGACAATAAACTAATTTGCTTAGTTTGGTCCCATTGAATAGAAAGAGGAACTTAATTCACTCTTTATTTTCTAGGGTCAAGCGAATCTGTTCCAATGACTCAATAGATCTGGAACTATTTCACCTTAGACAGACCGTCATCAGAAATGGTTACCCACCTGGATTAATCGATAGCAACTCAACACCTAGACTTCATCAGGAAAAAGTATCGACAGTACAAAAGAAAACTCTGTTTATGAATATAGCATATAAAGGAGATACGGCTGCTGAAATCTTAAATAAACGGATTTCAAAATCGTTGAATAAAACTTTCTACGCAGCTAAGCTCTGAATTGTTTTCTCTAGCCGACCTACCATACGGCGATGTGTTATGGGAAAACTACCGCCAGACCCTTTATGGAGGAGGAGACTCAAACTAAATCTTATCTTTTTCTTCAAACTACTTCATAAACTATCGTTTACATCCGATCACGCGATTCAATATGCAGAAACCTCTCATTATGACATCCGTAATTCCTTGGCACTAGTGAAACAAACTCATTCTAAATCATCTCTTTATATGAATTACTTCACCTGTAAATTTTCTAGACTCTGGAATAACCTACCACAATCTATCCGCATGATAAAATCACTCCCATTATTTGTTCGCTGCATCGATGCATACTGCTCCTCTGAAAATGCATTGAATGGTCTAGCACCTGCAAGTGTATCTCATTCCACAAGTGACATTTTAGGAACTTTAAATGTTTAGCCATCTTTATTAGTGAATTCCCTTAGTAAAACCACCCACTTGCTGTCAATATGTTAACACCGTCCCTAGCAACTTTAACTAATTTGAATAACACAAACAGTATATCACTGTGTCACATAACACACGCATTTAGGTAGACCTGATTGATATATTTTGGTTATTACTTTTTTGTTGTTCCCTGCTCTCTGTTTTCGTTTTAATTTCTCTAGTTGTAGATAATTAGCATTAATTCGATCTGGCACACAAATTGACTTTAATTACACCGTCCATAAATCAACGGGCTGTCTATTTAAGAAATATTAAAAATTTCCGGCTGATGCTTTGGATCGCTGTAATATATGTACTACTTAAACAACTATTGAACTAGTATACTTAAAACTTTCTTTTATCACATTTTTGTTCTGCATGTCTAACGTTTTTACTTATATCAAATTGATCATGCCTGTAAACTGGCTTGAATTCTGTAATTATTATTTTTCAGAATATATAAATTATTATTATCTTATGCAAATATTCGAATATTGTATACGACTAATTTCCTTGTGTTAATAATAGTAATATTTAGTAGTAATGACTCGTCAAGCAACACACCTCTTCGCATACCTCCCAGCTGATTTCGCATTATTTACTAATCTTGTTTATTCATTTGAACACTAATGAAAAATACTGATTGAACTGATAGATTTCAATATACGAAAATAGGCAATAAATGAACATTTGAATTTAGTGAAAGAACAAACTCCATCTTTTATTCCATTACGTGTCTATAAACTTTCATGTATGTGTTCTGTTATTATCCCTTTGAATATATACAGTTGAAAAAAAAAAGGATGAAACTTTCTTCATACAAAAATTACATACATATGGCATTTCACAGTAGCATACCTTCTTGCTACTGGTCAATACCGGGTGAAGTTCCATATGGAAATGTAAAACAAACAGGTAGAAACACACGAAAATTTTGAAAAATGTTTCTCATCTCAACTGAGAATATTGAAAATGTTATTCTACTGATCACCAATATTTAGAAATAAATAAAAATAATTAAAAAAAAAAACAAAAAAAAAAACAATAAAAATAGAAACAAATAAATGTTACAATACAAACAATTATTTAGTAAATAAAACAAGTCTACATAGACAAGTTATGAGGAAGATTTATAATAATAATAATAATAACACAATATTTGTAATGGATGGAGTTCAGTTGATGTTTCATTGATTGATTTATTGAGCATGTCTCATATTGGAATTTGTTTGTCTATTGTCCATACAATAATTAATGGATTGATTGGTTTACTGATTGATATGTACTTGGAGGTTGAGGGAAGACAGAAGTACTAATAATATCAATCATATGTATTTTACAGTGACGTGTAAACGAGGTGAATGTCTGAGAAAGTGAACGAAAGAGAGAAAGGAAGGGATATCTCAAAAACCAAAGAATCTTTTACGTCTATGTATCTGTGTGTGTGTGTGTTTGAGAGAGAGAGAGAAATAGCAATTGGAAGACAGAACTACGAGTGCATGATGGAAAACATATAAACAGTTTGCACAACCATGATGAATTTCCAGCAAACACGTTTACTGTGTTGTTTACGTTTTTGTGAGAGAAATACAAGGCGATTGAAAGGAATTCCTCAGTAATAGTAATAATAGTGATATTGTATCAGGAAATTCTATTCTGTTGTAAATAATTCATTAAATCCATATAATCTCGATGTATCCCATAAGGATGTAGATGGTACAGCATATATTCATAGAGATACATTTCTTCAGGTCTAATATAATGGAATGAGACAGCATAATCACTGCAACAATCGAATCCCTGATTTCAATCAAATGGGGAGAATAAAAGTCAATGTAATCATCATGATGATAATAATAATAACAATAATGTGGAGAGATACAGTTACAATGTGAGGTAGGCAAAGTTTGTTGAATAGCTGCACACTGAATAATAAATAGGTCAACAGAACATGATTATGTGACAATAATCTTACAATCACGAGCAACCCTCTCTAAACATTTCTACACTACATGTGCACCTCTCATCTAGTACATGCTTGATTGTGATAGCGTTGGAAAACACAGTTTGCAATGAGCTCCAAAAGCATATCGCGATGTTTCCTTTTTAAACTGTTGTTTTTACTTCATACTTATATTATTAACGTGTTTAATTTATTCAACCGCCTTCCACAAGCACCACATAAATGTATCCTCTTTAACACTACTCATTTATGTAACTGTTAATTAATATTTGTGACGTGAAATTTCGTGCCAAACTTCAATGTCGCCATCTCAAACCTCAGTGAATCAGCTATCAGACCATCTCTGTTACAAATTAGTGAGAGTGTAGGGAATTTTTCAAAAAGTGATCTTTAACGATACTACACTCATTATTCTCAACTTCTGTTATTTGTTCGTTTGGTTTCTGTTATCACCACCAAACAGTACGTTACAATACATTATTCATCTACTACTCGTCTGTCTTCTGTGTTACATAATACTACTCAGATAAATCCATCTAAAATTTATATATGTAATGGGGACAACGTTCGAATTTGAATTATCATAATATCACTTTAGTATCTGAAGTATTCAGTAGCATTCATGACATGATGTATGATAATGTTGTGTATGATAGGGGAAGAAGAATAATCGTTGCTTTCAGAAACTAGAGTGTTTTGTCTGATTCTCACTCATTTGTATAGTTTAATATAGACTTGAGTGAGCATTGAAAATTATCCTGTATATAATTGATGCTGAAACTCCTGTTACATTTTCGCCAACCATAACCCTTTCCGTGGATAACATATTTAAGTATAGATATGTTTATTAGTAAAACTCACTGTATCTATTCTGTGGTAATTATACCTTAGGTACCATTCTGGGTAGCCGTTTGCGTTTTTTGTGAGCATATGTGATGGAGAGAACGGATGAAAGCATTCACGTCCTTCTGCATCTAGACTATCAATTACTGAAACATTTGTAGCTTCAGCACAAGATCCTGTAATCAATGGAGGGAAAAGAAGATGTATCGAATGAGATTAGCATTGAATTTTTTCTTTTATTATTTTCGAATTCGCAGTATGTCAAAACACATAAAATGAAGTCAACGAATAATAGTCTTTTCAGTAAGTTCTAATCAGTTTCTACGCTTTTGGGGTGATCCAGAAAACTCGTAAAAGCCAGGAAATGCTCAAGAAACACTATGTAGCATTTTATCCAATCAGTGTTCACTAGAAGTTCCTCCAAGTCAATGCAGTCGAGAGAAACGTTTTACAAGGTTCCATCACGCAAAATTATCGTAATGACAGCAACAAACCATCATCCCCATACTGGTTATGTGGCGTTTGGCGTTCTAAACGGTTTTGTCCTTCTAAAAATCTTCGCTGTACTACGTTTTGTAGAAAAGAGCACAAAGTAGGTCATTGAAAAATCTGGAAACACCGTCGACAGAAAGTGTGTTCTAAAAGATTCAAGCCACGAACAGCTAAAGTAACGGTGGCTCTTCACAAAGCCGGCTCACATAACCATAGAAAGTATGTTTGTCTCAATATCAGTGGGTATGATGCTCGCTTACAGTTAGATACAGTTTCCAATATAACACTTATAAGCAGGAGAACATGGGAGAAAAAAATGGGAGACCGCGAATATATTCAATTCATCAACCAGCACAAAGTGCATCCGAGGGAATTCTAAACATTACTGGTGAGATTCATTGCGAAGTCACAAAGAGTTTACGGAGAAGGGAGTTATATTTTTGACAGAACGTCCATCACTCGACTTATTGGGGCTTGACCGGATAGAAATGTTGAAGTTTTAAAACCGTCCCATAAACTCGATCTGCAACAACGTCAGTACGTCGAAAGTTGAAGAGAAAAACTCAGTGGAAACAGTATTAAAACGACATAAAATGGCATTTAGTGATGGTCTTGAAGAATGCAGTAAATTTAAAGCTGCTCTTACAATTCGACAGGAATCAAAACCTGTGTTTTGACCTAAGAGACCTGTACCATATGCTGCCTTCCTACTGGATGAACAAGAGCCACAACGACTTCAGAAATTCGGTGTCATTGAACAAGTGAATTTCTCAGAATAGTGGTAGTAAAGAAGACTACTGACAGCGTCTGTTTATGTACCGATTACTCAACTGGGCAAAATGAAGCCCTAGAAACCCATCAGTATCCCTTACCCCTACCTGAAGATCTTTTTGCTAAACTGAATGGAGGTAAACTCTCTGCAAAGTTGGACTTATCGGAAGCTTATTTTCAAATTCCTGTTGCTGATGAGTGCAAACATCTGCTCACCACAAACACACACAGGGGTCTATTCCGGTAAAATCGAATACCCATCGGAGTTAAGACTTCCATATCCATATTTCAGCAAGCAATGGATAATATGGTACAGGATGTTTCAGGTGTTGCAGCTCATCTGGATGATGTAATAATTATGGGAGTGGATAGAATAGACTTTGAAAAGAAGCTCGACCAGGTGCTGTCACGATTAGCCGAATATGGACTTTGACTCCGTGCAGAGAAATGTAACTATTGCATGCAAAATGTACGCCTCCCTGGATTTGTAACCGATAAAGATGACAAGAGACCAGATCCAGAGAATACCCAGACAGTGAAAACTATGCCTAGACTGACGGACGTCCTCACACCACGATTCTTTTTGGGACTAGCTAGTCATTATAGAACTTTTATTCCTAACCTTCATCACTTACGTGCCTCGTTAAATAACCTTCTGGTGGAGAATGTAAAATGGGATTGGTCCGCAACTTGCCAAGCTGCTTTTGAGGAAATCAAGAAAGTACTAGTCTCGGATCTGTTGCCCAACCATTACGATCCATCCTTACCCCATCGTAGTAGCATCAGATGCTTCAAACTATGGGATTGGAGCAGAGTCGTTATGCCAAAAGCATTACACCACAAGGTTCTGAGACAATTCCGCTGCAGTCATACAGGCATCAATAAGATGAAAGCGTTGGCTCGAAGCTATGATTACTGGCCTACAATGCATGGAGATATCGAAACCAGATGCTGCAATTGTTCGTCGTGCCTGCAAACAGCTGAAAGTCCAAATAAATATGAACCACAACAATGGAAAAACTTAAAAGTCCTTGAGAGAGGCTGCACGCAGCTCTTGCTGGCCCAATCGAGGGAGAATGTTTCTAGTCATAGTGGACACACTCACAAAATAGCCATAAATTCGGACTGTTTAGCTGCTTTGGAGTTCCGGAGACTTTAGTGACCGATAATGGCTCACAATCCACTGCAGAATCATGCAAGCACTTCTGCAACATTAATGGAATTGTGCATATGCGCTCTCCACTCAATCAAATGGACAGGTAGAGCACTTCGTGGACACATTTAAAAGAGCACTACTGAGAGGTAAAGGCAAAAGGTGGAAGTCAGGTAATTAAGAAATTCCTAGCATATTATAGAACTACATCTAACCCCGTCGTTACAGACGGGAATTCCCCTGCTGAAGCAATGTTCGAGAGATGAATCCGAACCATATTCAACGCCATGTTGCCGCTTAAACCGATGGATGGATGCAGATAAAATCAGAATATCCGGAGTTTTAACGTGGGTGATAAAGTGCTCGTCAAGTCATACATTAGGGAAAATCGTTGGCAACCGTGAGTCATTGAGAGGAGAATAAGAAATGTTTTATACAAAGTACTTGGGACTTTCGGAACGTGGATTAGACACATTGATTAAATATACAGAGAATACAGGACACTAAACACGGTATATAGTCGAGTGAGTCTTCTGGGAGAGATAATTACAAATGCTCCAATGGCAAGAACCCCAACAGACACTCATAGACGCTGGATACCAAGAAAATCCGAACGTCGCAGAAAACCAGTTATCCAGCTGCAATTAGACCAGATAAAAAGTATTATTTTTCGAAAAGGGGGAAGGTGTTGAGGAGATACAGAAAACTTCTCAAAATTAAGCCAAGAAAGGCTCTGAAAACACTGAGAACTATCATATCCAATCAGCGTTCACTAGACGTTTTGCCAGAAACATCTAGAAACTGAAACGTCACATGTCGAGTTTCTGATTGGATGATTACTCATACTGCTACTATGTTCAGTATCATTCCAGAATTTTTCGGAAACACAAGGATATCTAAAATACTATAAAAATTCACTAGACTTTTTATACATAAACGAACCCATTGAGTAAAATACTTCACGTTTGTTTTGGTTCTTTTCTCTCGTGTTCAGATCGCTGTGTAGTTCTAGCTTGAGAGTTACGAGAATAGCTTAGGAACCGAATATAGCGTTTAATTAGCACGACTTATCATACGCTTATACATCGTGCAAATTATAGATGCAAAAGCAATTCATGGGATCTTACAGTGGTTAGTAGAACAAAACAGAATTGTTAGTGGATAAATATATATCAACTATGTACTGCCAACTCCAATTATTGTGTCAACTGTAATTGTCAGAATGATAATGAGAATAGATTTAGATGTCATAATGTAAGAGAACTAATACTGACGTTATTCTTGAACTATCAACTGTCCTATCTATAAGATATGATGCGTAACTGAGGTGACCTCACAGCACAGACTCAACGAAGGTGGACATCGGATGAAAACCCAACTGGATGTAAATAACTGTTTCGTCCCACTATGAAACAGTTCTCTATACTGAGCATCTAGACTTCATTCCAAAATCGGATTTAATGTCTTCAGGATTTCACAAACCGTTCAGACTAATCCAAATGCATTAGGCAGTTTCCATGTCATATTCAACGATATCAATTATTCTTCAAATCAGTTGTTGCATAGTCATGATACAATCACATCACACGCAAAATTAGTATGTATACCTACCAAGTTTCACATCTTCATCTAATGCATATTTATTACTTTGACAAACGGTATTATTTTCTAAACCATTAGCGATATTCAAAAGACCAGCTCGAGATAGCACATATCCTCCACCACCGGACATATATCCTTGTTTAATAAATGGCTATTTTGCAAAGAAGAAGAATGTGAAGGAAATAGAATAATATGATGGATTAAGGAGAGTGAAAGTAACAATTTAGACGCACTATCTGTAATAACAAGTATTTGAATTTCTCAAATTCTTATACAAATTAAGGTAACACTGGGAACTATTTGGATGCTCTCTGATAATAGAACAACTTTTCATAACCTGGAACTATGATCTTTAGAAATTCGCTTGAATTATTGACAGTTCCTGTCATGAAACGATTTGATATTCCCCACCACACCCCACACCCAACTTCAATTATCATGAAGATATTCTGTTTAGATTTATGAAATAATTCCTCACTTAAGTAATAATACGCTGGGTAAGTAATTCGAGTAATCACAACATTCAGTTCTAATCATTGGTCAATCATATCCTATGTATTAGGTAAATCAAAATCACTATAATCTTCGTTCATTATTGCGACCGAATACTGGTGATTACTCCGTTGATGAACATGGCATTTAATCAGAAATAGCCTTTTCGAATGGGTATAATATACGAGTCACCAAAATCACTCGAATCAGTACTAGGATGATGGAGTGATTTTATCAAATACTAATTATTTTGTACATACCTAACCACACAATTACCGATTCAATACAATTCAAGTGTGTAGACTGTGTTCTCTGTGTTTAGTCCCGATACATTCATCACTATTATACCACACAAAAGTTAGATCTGGGAACTTGGATTGCATTCGGTACTAATAATGTTGCTATTATTACTACCATTACAGAATATCCTAACAAACCAAAAGAGGAAATAACAAAAAGAGAGAAGACAAATATCTTAGCAAAGTGAACTGCTTCAACTGTAATAAAAATCACGATGGACTGAGTGACTGCCTTCTTCTTCTTCATCATCAACAACATTAGGTGTCTGAGAAGCACCATGAGTTACCTTCGCTTATACCTATGCATGTGGACAATTGTAGACACGGATTTGATTGAGACTATGTTGACATCTTGAGGAGAGAAAATACAAACAAAACTAGAGTTTTAAGTAAATCGGAGCAGGTCAAACAGCAATCAGTAAGCATATGTGTGTTAATTCGAACATCCCATTTCCCTACGAATTTTGTCAAGATGCTGTCCAAAAAGATCACAAAATTTTCAATATTGAACTAGCCACCTGGGAGAACGCTAACCCACTTAAATTTGTTTGACATTCTACTGATTTGGCCAGCACAGTCACTTTAACATACTATCGGTTGATTGCATTATCTTATCACACAAATAAATCTACTTGTCAAAAATCAGCTACTCCATAGATATGGAGATGCACAACTCACCTTGAATCGTCTGCCCATGATGAATGGTTTATCGGGATTTTCTTTACGTAAAATTTTGCGCAGATTCTCTACAATCACATATGAATCATCATCCGCCTTCATGAAGTAATCGTAATCATTAGCATAATGTTTTGCCATGTATTTTATCGCTCCAGCTGTTTTATTCCACAATAAGTTGCGACCTTCAGTATTGATAACAGCTACAATTTACGAATACATTGATATATTCGGTGGTGATTGGAGTAACTAAACAGACAGATTCAATGACAATCATAAATGATAATAACCAACACGGGGAGATAGAGTTCACTGGGAAGGAACTTTCACTAAACTCTGGTAAACTTGGACTGAATGATGATAGGGTTTATCTTTTTCTTAAAATTCAAACTTGGCTTAGAAGCCAGGTAATTCAGCTAATTATATATATATATATTTCGGCTTAAGTTGCCACATCACATTGGCTCAAATGTTAGGGAAAATCCAAGGGCAGTAGACGTAGTAACAGTATCAGTGGTAATAAAGAAAATTAAACGTAGAAGATACGATTCGGGAAGGAAATATGACATTATCAAAATGATTGAAAACTTTATGTGGAATTTGGGAACTTTAAACATACGAGAAGACAAAGAATGAATGCATCTGAGTAATTGAGAACAACTGTGAGCATTGTTACTCAAAGTCTCCAACCATTGTTTACGATGATCACGCGGATCTCAACCAGGTTGTATGCACCTAACTACATGGATTGGTTCAACATTCAGTGCCTTTGTGGACTGATGTCACGTTTTCGATTGTCCTCCCTTGACTTTCTTTCTTCCATGCTACTAGTTACACCAGCTATTATTATGCATCCAGTTAGTTGGTAGTTGGACATGCATAATGCATATCCCAACAATCTCAGTCGATAGATTCATTACCTCGTCAATCGATTTCCTATAGTTACCTGGTGCTGTGCGTTCAACCTCAGAGTTGTCAAATCGATGGTATCAAAATGTACGAGCAATGATTTGAAGACATTGATGATCAAGTCCTCGTAACCCAAGAATATCCTCTATTATAAAAGGTATGTTTCTCACCCATCAAGTAGATCGGAGCGAAGTGTCGAGTAGTTGACAGACGTATATCTTGTGTGCGCCACAAGTGAGCAAGTTGGTAAACGCCAACCGGCCTCCCTCGACCCGTGTCGAGTTTCCGTCAAACACCAACCCATTAGTGTTGATGAGACTTTCAAGTGAAGTGAAGTGAAGCGGTCGACACAATCCACTATTTCACTCGCTATCGTCAAGTCAAGTTTTGCATAAACCAGTCCTTAAGCAATATTTTGCGTTAGGATGAAGTGATACGCATCACAAACACGCTCGCACTGTTGATTGATTAAGGAGGTCAAGAGACCCTGAATGTTATCAAGGTGTTCACAAAATAAAAATATTTCATCTTAGTATTCCGAGTCAACAAATGAATCTTCTGGTAGATCAATTTATCATAAATCACACGATGATATTATTATTATTATTATCAACTCAAGAAGAACGTCTACCAATAAGTTAAATGGAAATGGAGAAAGTGGACAACCTTGAGGAAGACTACTTGGAGTCATCAATTCTCATTCTCTTTCGAAGCACCATGAAAATGTAGTTTCACTGCACATTCTGCGCCAAAATAGAAAAATCATTCATTTTCGACATTTCTACAAATTACAAACTAGTTATTATTATTATTATTCTGATTGCATTATCCTTACACTATACTTTAACATCAGATATATCTATTATGAAATCGCACACAAAAGCTCTTCCTGATGCCTAATTAACTTTTTGTTCGGTGAATATATTTTTATCTGCATCAGTGTTTTTATAGTTGAGTCCAGTCTTACATTGTTTGTATACAGTTGTCAAAATAGCACATTACATGTATAGCTAATCGAAAAATTCATTTGTGTCAAGATCTGTATAAGTCTCATGTAAGTCAAAACACATTGGTAGTATCGATTAAAATGTTTAATCTTTTTTTGTAACTGAAACCAATACGACAATATTCATCCATCCAATGAGCTTCGAACAATATTATCTGAGTACTCTCAGTGTATATACACACAGTGTATAGTATGATGTATAAGATAAATCATTATTTTAAGATAACACTAATGTAATGTTTCTCGTAAAGTCAGTTATATATTGTACAACAATCTTTTCCACATAACACTATATATCCTGTAAACTTATTTTCATCTCTGCCCGATATAATAAGATATTGTGATCAGGATAGTTGATCATATTTTTTACTGAGACAGTAACTGATTAATAAAGTTGCACAAAGATCGTATCATACCATAAACGCGACCAAATCAAATTAATCAAATGCTTGACACAAAGCATCTGGGTTTCATCTTTCACCAATAATGTATCCACGATAGCTCAAATTTAGAACCTGTTACTTATCCTTTCGATATCAAACATATAAGACTTATATGATGCAACTAACTGTAGTCAAATTAAAAGTCAAACTTTACACTTTCATATAACCTCGTGGTGCTACTATGAAAGTCACTTCCCGAGTAGTTTACTGGTTAAGTTTCACACCATGAATCCGGGTAAGTGAATTCAAACCGCACTGAAAGCAACAATTGCCCAAGATTCTATGTACGTTTGGTTGACGAGTGCCAACTAGTATAGAACCTGGGTTCAGGGTACACTACCAACCACCTTTGACTATCTAATTCGTCACCATGTCATTTGCTATTAATGAACTATGAATTTGTACTAGATCATATAAACCAGTCGATCCCTTTTATAATTCTAGGTGATTCAATGAGAAGATATAAATGAATTAAACAGACATTGCATACATCTCTAACTTGTTGGGATTGATTTTCAAGCACTTGATTTCTAGACTGTAACCGTTGCTTTTTCTTATTACCAAGGCGGTTTAAGCATGTAAACAAACATTTACAAACACGACTTAAAATAACAGATGGCTTCTTACTGATTGACTAAGAAACCAATATCTGAGATCATTCAAATAATATTCTTCGTTCATGTATTAGTGTTTTAATATGATGAAGATTTTCAATCAGTTTGAGAACAAAATTCAATATCATACTGTTTTGGGAGGTTCTACCTAACTGCCTTACTACAAACATCATGATGTTTGTCATTATAGTTATCAAAAGATATTTAGTACTATAACTGCTGTTCGGTATTACTCCTGACCCTGGCTACTGAGTGATCTGAGAGAAGTGAGGAGAAAATACCCATACCATACCTGTAGTTTACATTTGTTTGATGACTGATTTGAGTGTGACCAAAACGTACTCCAGCTACCTAACATCAAATAAAGTTAACCACAAATTCCAGTTAATTAGCTTGATCACCCAGTAGTAAAATAAGTGACTGATATAATTTGATCTGGATAAAGGGTTATACAGTAGAACACTGATTACTACTGCGGTGTGTGCTACTTATATTGACATAAGTTAGTAGTATACATGTCAGCCGTGAATAGAATGTCTGGCAGCAGAGAGACAAGAGGATCGAGCAGTAAAGAATGCAAACAGAATGCAATTTGTATCAAAATGCAAGAACAATGAAGTCTGGGTCATTTTGAGACAATCGGTGGACATTTTGCAAATTAAGCATTTGTTTTATGATTGCTAGATTTTATTAACAAGTCCTGTAATCTTGTGTTGAATACATTAGATTGTCTCCACTGGTGTTCTTGTTCACTACACTATTACTACTACTACTACTACTACTACTACTACTACTACTACTAAACAATTTCCGGTCAGCGTAATCCACCTACTTTACAAAGTACTGCTGAGGAGTCCCACAATACGACGGGACGGCTGTTCGGTGCTTTCATGTTTTCCATGGTGGTCTAGCTTCAATCGATTCATGCTCTCAACTGTTGAGATTTCTTCTAATTTTGTGAGAAAGTGCAAATTCTTATTGCCTTTAAATAGTTTTATCATAATTCATTAATCTATAACTATTCCATGATGGAAATTTTCTTTTCAACGAGATCATTTACTTAAGCTGTACATTCGTACTCATAGATAGATGAAAAACATATGTCTATAGAAGAACAGAACATAGACATATATTCTCCACATATCTATGAATACGAATGTACAGCCTAAGTAAATGATTTCAACGAAAAGAAAACTTCCATCACTAAATTCAATGACGCAATGGGTTATTTTAATTATCATAACTACTTGTTATTTCAATTTATGCTTGTAAACATGTGTTTGTATAAATCATATGGAAAAACAATATCAAGTGAATTTGAACTTCGCCCCATTGCACAAGCAAGTGGCTATCAGGACTCAGTAACTGAGTGGATAACGCGATGGAGTTTGAAGCGAACGGTACTGGGTTCGAGTCCCAGAGTGAATGAACTTCAACTCACATGCAGGTATATACAGGCGACGGATCCCAAATAGGACGAAACGCGCGTCAAACTGGATTCCACTGCTGGCCACTATCTATCTTTGCTTAGAATGCTTGTGAATTAAGGCAATATCGAGGCAATACAAACAGTAAGCACATACACCAATAACAGACTGATCAATTACCGTGCTAAGCATCAATGAAAAGATTCAAGTAAAAACAATACCAAGTGAATTTATTCATATTAAATGTTAACCTGAATATTAAGTGGAAATTTTAAGATCCATGATTAGAATAAATATGGGTCAGATAGTGTGAGAGAAGTCATAGTGCAATTACAATTCGATCAAATGTTTAGCGGAAAACTACATTGTGTAAAAAATTATTGGTAAGGATGAATGTGAAGTAAATGGATCGTGTATTGGGGAGATGAATAATGATCTTTAGCCAATAGTAGTAGTAGTAATAATAATAATAACAGTAATTTCCACTTAACATACAAGCAGATTCAAGTCAACATTCCATATAAGTCATAAAAACATGAATAATTTTATTCTATTTTGTTTGACAATCCTACAGTTCACATGCGTTTACTTAAAACGTTGCACTCGTTGCACCCTTGATCTGGACATTTTTCGGATTATTAATTTGAATATATGAATTGTAGAACCTGAAGAGAATCTATCGAAAACAATATTCTTCATTCATAGAATAGTCTTCTTAATATGTGGGGGATCTTTAAACAATAAATATGTTTGTATGCTTTAATCTTATTTACAATTAAAAAAACACACAACGATTATAGGCTAGATTCATTGATTCAAGAGAACAGGCAAACACTAGAGATTGAACGTTCTTACCAGGGTTTATAAATGGTATGCTGTGTTCTCCAAAGTGCAACAAAACGTCAGGGTGGAATTTAAAAATGGTAACGTTTCTGTATTTAGTTTACAGTTTAAAGTAAACACTCCTTTCTCAAATACCTAGATGAGTAGACATATATGACATTTAGGAATGGAACCAAATGTCCCTGTATTTTCCAATGAATACAGTATTTTCAGAAGCTTCAATTTAAACACGAGTCTAATTGTGAAGTAATATAGTGTGTCCAATGCTCTCAGAGTAAATAGTAGAATCTTAAATGTTACACAAGAATTAAAGTGGTTTTCTACTGATCTAGTCATTAATCATTTTCGTTCTAAATTGAATTAGTGTCGATAATGTGTTACACATCAATTACTACGATTTGGACTTGACAATCAATGCTGGTTGGTGCAGGAGGAGGTTGCATAAAATAAGGGGTAGGAAGACAGGGATGAAGATTCAATCACGGAAGTCAGTGAATGTTGAGATGAGCCACATTAGTAAGTCCAATTTACCGGCTTGGTGTTCCCGGAATAATCATTTACAACATTTGGAGACGTTGAGTGGTATCACTCGAAATCCGATGCATTAAGACAGATGTATGCATTTTAATAATCTTTCCGTAGATTTTGAATTCCAATACTTCTCCATCATCTTCATTGCACCAATTAATCCCCTTTTGGAGATCATTTTCTTCATGCTTACTATCAATGATATTACTATCGTTTCGACTGTTTCGCTATCTAGTCTGGTCATATGGATCACAAAAACATGAAACAGTAACAATAATAATAATAATAATAATAATAATAATAATAATAATAATAATAATAATAATAATAATAATAATAGTAATAACGATGCTGAAAACTGGACAATCAGTGACTTACCTATTGAAGGAAGATGCGAATCAGTTTCACTACTAATGAATAAATAGTTATTACATCGACCAGCCCACGTAGCTTTCACATGAACAGCTTTTGATTTATGATTCGCTGGCATTGTTAGTATCCAACAGAACACACGTACTTGTTTAGCCAATACGTTGGCCAACGTTGCCTCGGCTACAGGTAGGAAGAAAAGTATACAAGAATAGAAACAATGTAGATTCGTCTAATTCCTCCTCTAAGACGAGGAAAATTAATTTGACATTCGAGACTGCCAACTGCCACCGTTTGTTTGAATAAAGTAAGTCAATTCGCATAAACAGAGAAATTGACTGACTGACTGACTGAGTAATCAAGAAAATTAAATAAAACAATGCTCACTGAATTTTCAGTAAGGAGAAAATTCAGTCAATGCATCTGTATCACATGAGCTGACATATACTCCTTAGTAAGAGTTTTGAATCTACAAATCTCGTGTTATACTGACCACATTTCGAAGGTACCCGTTCGTTCACTTACACAACTTATGAAAAGAGTTAGTTACTTCACAGATCAACACAAGTTCAACATAGTGAAACAGATGTTGTGCATTGATTCACACTCAATAGCAACACATCTAGTGAATTGGAAATCCGAAAAGAACTTAAATGTATAGACGAGACAAGACATCCTCCCGGAATACTCTACTTGAATTTTTATCAGAATGGAAACGGAATATTTGTGACCCGATTGGCCAAGCTGAAACGAAGAGAAGAAATAATGAAAATCTCAAACATGTCTCTACCTTTAAGACTCAGTGTTTGAACAGATCATCATCAGAAGTTAGGTGGTACAATTGAACCACCACAATAAACATGACATAGACCTCCGAATCCTGGCTGTCAGAAAAGTAATAACGTATATCGAAAAAATGAAAACTCAAGCAAATCTAAGGAAACAATTTGAAGCTCATCATATTTTCGAAGATATGCTGGAAATACTGGATCTAGATGATGGTAAATCATTGAAAATTTTAACAGTACGGAGAATGACACGAGCTAAATTGTTTCAAATGAGGTCCATTCCACTCTATGAGCTATCGATCAGATATTCCACTTTTTGGGATTTTACTTACACTTTACATGGATTATTTTCCAAAGTTCTTAAATTCGAACTACTCTGACAGTACTGTCATTTCTCCTGTGTCATCTGCCATATCAGTTGATTATGAAACTGTTTCATTACAAATAATAAATATCATCAATCCTGGAAAACCGACATTTCTCAGATATTTCTAATCCATTAATTCATAAATCAACACACTCTCTAGATGTAACCACAACATTGCAACTCATCACAGAGTAAGGCAGTCAATTTGTTCTTCTTCTTCATGAATATTCGCAAAACCATCAGCTAGCAAATGTATTCAGCCAAAGGTTCCACACCCACCGAAAACATTTCTCACTTGATTAATTCATCAAAATTTTCACGGTGCGCTCACGAAATTTGTGTTGAACACGATCCACTCCTTCGGATTCTCTATCTTCCACGTCTATACATCGATGCCATCACTAAAATAATTTCTCTATAGATTTCATGTCGTATTTCGGTTAATGTCAATTCCAATAAACCTCATCACACTGTACTAACATGTGTAGTTGGCAAGCATGTTTCGGTTTCATTTGAAGACACACGACATCACATCATAAATATTCCTCAAAATATTGGTGATCACTGAATACTATATTCCAACTTCATGAATAAACAATGGAACATTCATAATGAAATTTATTGATTCTGGACTACATTCTGTTTACATTTTATTTAAGATAACACTAATGAGGATAATAGGTAACCGTGTACTCTGTGTTAGCCAACCACTCTCATTGGCTAATATTTATTCATAGGAAATAACTTTGAAGTCTTGTAGACACCACAATGTTCAATTTTTATATCTGAATAGACAGAACACAAGATATGACAGCACTACCTGTGAGAAATGCACCCGATTTCGTATTCCTGCTATTTTCACACCGTACATTTTACTCAGTTATAGAGAAACAACTGACTACATTATGGTGAAAGTACGTAAATTGTGATGATCAGTCTACAGGTAATCCAACTACTTTCATTTCTAAACCAGTGAAATGTCTTCAACTGTGAATGGAAAGTTAGTAAATAAATAACAATGGTTGATCGTAATCACGATAATCTCTCTTGTTTCTTTGATACCGATGCCATTTTTATGCTGTATTCGTTCGCTGATTAAGAAAAAGGTGAAGTGAATTCCTGAGGTTTCCGGTGAAAAATAGGAAAGACTTTGAGGAAATTGTTGAGACGTGGAGGGTTGTTTATGGAGCTAAAACTGAAGGGAACAAATTGTTTCCAATAGATAAAAGACCTCAGTGAGAGCTGTCAATACTAAAACGATGATGAGAGCTTAACACTTTCATCGAATACCTGTGTTGATAAAATTCACAAAAATGTGTATTGTTTCCAGCTTTAAAGTTTCCAATTCACTTTCTGGATGAACTATGTGAGTATGAGTTTGAGAAAGTTCTCTGTTTATTTGGTCCAACAGAGTCACTTAGGATAGATAGAGTAAAATGTGAAACGATGAGACAACTGAAGGGTCTGAATTCAGAGAGGTGCATAAATGTTTTCAACAGTAGGAAGTAATACAGGCCAAATGCGTTTCTACAAATGGGAACTATCTCGAAAATGGATAAGATTGATGTACGACAAACCATCCACTCAACTCGCCTACTTAGTAAAGACACTGGTGACTGAAAAAAATGATTCACATTTATAACGACTCAGTTCATTAACATTCAGCTAGAATTCGGAAACTACAGTCTGAATCATAGATGGATATTTCGAGTATTGCTTCAACTGAAAGCAATTTTTAGAATAATCATTGAAACCATTAATAACAACTGTGGTTTCCCACTTCAAATTAAAACCAATACACTTACCTAAATGTTGTAATGCATGTTCGTGTATTGAATCGTTTGAAACAACTATAATTTTCAAGGGAACACGATGGTGAAATTGATAGTCATTTTAAGTTAAATCTAACCTACTCAACTGTTTATATGCATTATCGTTTGCTGTCAATCTCGGTGACTTGGCTGCAAACAGTGCTGCTGTATACAAATCCTCTTCATGTTGTACATAGTAAAAGTGGACAATTAGTCCTCCACCAAACATACCGATCGTGTATATAAGAAGCATACGAAAGAATGGTGATAATTGCATAAAGACCTGAAATTCCTAAGATCAAAATGAAAGAGTGTTAGTACCAACTAACAGAATTTACTTTTGAATACAATTCCAATCAGGGAATTGTTAAGGAAGCATCATAATCATGTCACTGTTTCATCTGATGTAACAAATAAGTTGTAAACTTTATTCATGTTTGTATGCCTGAGTACTATGTGGTTCAGTAAATTTCTAAACGTCCTTTTTAATGTCATACTTGTTTACTACAGTACCAGTTAACTGGATCCATTCGACTTTGGTGATTAGAGGAGTTTGATTTTGTGCATTTTCCATGGGAAATTTACTACAATGATTTTACCGTTATTGTCTAGACGTATGAGGATTAATAGGTCGAATTCAGAACAGAATGTTTTAACATATACACATCTGATTGCCACATTGATTGATATCAATATGAATCTCTGAGGTAGTATAAATTTTTGCCGAAATCGTGTTCACATATTATCGAAGATTGTTAGTCAACTTCAACATTCGGTTCATTAAATTAATATGTCGCATACATTAATTGTCAAATTGAATCTCTCGATTCAAAGTTGGATAAGTAGCAATTAGGAATAGAATGTTCTTTTCATCACTATTTAACTTGTATAAAGCGGACGTTTTTGATACACGGCATAGAAATTATCATAAATCACTAATCATTATCTATGGACGTGTTACAGAACCCTTTGACCTCTACCTTTCTCCGGATGCATCTCGTCAACAAATGTCAATAATAATATCTAATAAACCAGATGATTTTAACACCATTCTTGAAGCGTATGATCGAGATGTAGCTTGGCGATTCCCAAACGAAGGCAAAACCTTTTTCTAATGCCATATGAATTATCTATATTTCACCTCACTGATGTCATATCGTGACGTAAACCAAGTTGAAACTAAACATATTGACATAATAAACTCATTTTAGTAATCATTATGTCTCCATCAATGAATAGTTTCAAGTGGATTCCATATATCCTATACAAATTCTATTGTGTGGGGACGTGATTGTTCAGTAGTTCTGTGAAACCTCAAACCTATATATATATTTATAATTTAACTATTGTAAACAAAAATACAACTGAAATAATCACTTAATCAATAAAATAGGCATCATCGAAGTAAATTGTATTTGAAATTCCGAATGAATGATTAGCTGGGGATTTTAGTGTTGAGTCGGCTTCCGGAGAACTTCAACGGAGCCCCAGAGGCCCAAAAAGAGCCGAAGGGTCCTAGCTAATCAGAGTGTGATGGAACGTTCGAGAATTCCAGCGTGGCGTGCTACTTTTGGCCGGTAGCATAATATGACGTTAACGGATTGGCTGAAATATGATGTTGATTTAACAGACGCCAACATGTTTGAATACCCTTGATTTTCTGTACAACAATGAACCTTGGGATAAAGTATTTCCTCTCATACTTGTATCTTCTGGTGTTCAAGTCGCTGTGTAGTTCTAGAATGCGGGTTACCGGAATAGCTTAGGAAACTAATATAGCGTTCAATCCAAGCGACTTATCATTTAGTTTGATTTTTTTTAATAAACCAATGGTCTGATGTATCTACTTTCTTTTTAATAAACGGTTTCCTTAACTTTTAAATTTCTAATCATGATTTGATTCATCCCATGTTCAATCGAATTATGATTAACATGAGTGATTATCAGATTGGATTTTTCGAGTATTTGTATTAATAAGACAAATTGAATGTAGTAGAAAAAAAAAGCAAAACTACTAAATACGCAATAGATAAAATGAACTGATATCCTCATGGAGACGTTTTAAAAGATACATCTTTTTACGACCCATATCTTGAAAAAGAATACAGACTGAATACCACAGATTAAGCAAAGTGAGGGATTAGCCATTAAGTTACTAATGTTTACCAAGGTACTGGATATTTTTATATCCAAAATGAATGTAGGTATCTCAAAAAAAAGTGTATGAGAAGTTTACTATGAAAAAATAATTAAAACATTCAGCAGACTATATCTTCAATTTCATTGTTTCTTCTGTCAAACGTTCTTTAATGGTTGCTCGTCTGCATAGGAGGAAGTTAGCTTGTGACTAAAGTCTACTAAATAAGGTCTCAATCATGTTTAATCTTTCGACTCCCTATACTTTTGCACAATAATTCACTAGTTAGTAGCAACCGTTGTCATGTCGATTCGTTGGTGCTAATTAAGTTCCATTCAACACACTTCAAGAGCGAAAATAAGGATAAAACGTACTTTCAAGTAAGTCCATAAATTCCTTAGTTTGATTCTTTGAATATCAGTTATACTTTTAGATTATTCGGTAAAAAAAAAACGAAGAGAGTATAATTTATCGACAAACCAATCCGGTATAAGATAACGAGTCACGAAGTTTGGCGCGGAATTCATGCATTCATTTGGCTAAATAGTTTTAACATTATATCTTATGTCCTTTGATGATGAAAACCTTCAATCTAATTTTCAACCCTAACCATCAACTGTAAATGTTAATTCTAACTGCTTTATAATCTTCATTTCGTACTAATCAGTAGGTGTCCATCTTCTAGGTCACTTCAGCGTCACTCAAAGGTTGTCCATAAATTATAGTTTCATCAAAGAAAACCACTAAGCTATTCAAATTTTATGTATCGAGACGAATTCCTAATTAATCCATACTTTGCAATTGGTATGTGTCAAATGATGACAACAAAGAGTATGTTCTTTTTGATATTATGTAAATCGGATACGGTATTACTTAATTTAGTCTTATTAATCGAGACAACTCTTAAGCATGATCCATAGCATTCGATCTGCCCTAATAAGAACTAGACACATATGATATTGATCACCACCCAGTGATTACTCAATTGTGATTATATCTCAATTCTACAGCAGGTCGATCCCGGCCTGGATAGCTCAGTGATAACTTCTCTGACTGTGAAGCTGAGTGACACGAGAACGAATCCGTCAAGGTGTATCAGTCCTCTCAAGACTATAGGTACATCTTGCTGACGAGTGCCAAGTAACACAAAACTCCGGTCCAGGTTGTCCTGTCAACTACATCTAACCACCATGTAATCACAATTCTTAAGCATAATTATGAATTTCAAAGTAGAATTCCATTAAATAATTGAAACATTAATGTTAATGATACCAATAAGGTATTAACAAAAACAATCACTAACTTGTATGAAACAATATGAATCGTTAAAAAAAAGACAAACCTACTTTCATCTAATAAATGGGTAAAATTATTGTCTTATGACTTTCCATTATCTATCACTTCTTGTTTAACCAATTAAAATTGAATTTCATAATTTACATTTTGATTGGTTAATTTGTATTTAAATTCGATCGTAAATGCCAAAGATTTATTGGTTAAAAATGAAAATATTGACCAGTTATTAAGATGAAATATACACATATAAAAAAATCGAAAATAATAAGACCAAACAAGATTGGATCAATAATTCAAAATGGTAACAATCGATTATTTCATTATTTAATTTGTTGCTAAGGCTCGATTGTGTTATTTGACAATAAAATATTTCATTTTTGTTTTGTTTATTCATTAAAGGAAGATCACTTTGAAATATATGACATAAATATTTCGATATTTCGATAATACAAAACGAAGAAGAAGACACAGTTGATTAGAATTATGTGATGTGATATCTTTGCACAATTGGATTGCACACACGCACACACACACACATGGTATACTTGTTAAGACATTTTGATATGAAAACTAAAAGGTCAATTAGACAAATGAAAAATAAACCGTAATAAAGAAATGACCATAATAATAATAATAGAGTACATAAAAACAATATGATAACTATACTAGATAATAAATCAGTATTATTAGGGTAGGTTAAGTGTAAGGACAAATCGTTTTTGAACGTATGAAGGGGATCATTTCGAGTGATTTATCGTATACGTCCATCATTTCCCAACAGAGTTCTTTCCCGTCTTTTACATATAGCTGAAGCTAAAGGATTTTGTACATTTAACCCCAATTTATGTGTATAGAAGAAATTCGTGACCCCTTATCCCTTCTATGACCGAATATAACTTAGCAAATGACTTTTTTTTAATTTAATTTAATTATGTTACCGTTAGCATTATTTTCACAACTGGTATTTATTTGTAACTTTCCACCTCTTTCCGTTTGTATTCTTCACTATCTAATTATTTACACACTTCTTATTACGTAATAATGTTTTGTAATGATTATTTTAAGTTTCCTTATAGCCAAGGCTTCAATAAACCTTAGTATACGTCATTTTGAAGGCTTTTGTACAACACTGCGAAATTCTGACTTGATGTCAACCTTATGACTAGACTCAATCAAATGTTTCACAATGGAGGATTATATCTATCTATCTATCCTATGATCTGATTTGACCATTGGAAGTATATATAATATGTAATCAGATTGTTTGAAATGTATTACGCAATTATATCACATAATTCTGATAAACTACGTCTTCTCATTACATTATCGAAATTCATTAAAGGGACTAATTGTTTTAAATTTCTGAAAAGAAGACTCCCTATACAGATTATTAAAAGGTTAGATGAACTTGTTAAGCTTATGAGTCAGTCAGTCAGCTACAACGTAGGACCAGGCACATGTGTGCATCGGTCCAGGTTGCCATACCGCATCAGCACAACAAGATGAACACCGGATTCATGACGGTGGTTAGGTAAAAGGTGGTAATATATAAGAGAAAGATTGCATATAGAGATATAGTACAAGAAGAAAGAATTGGTTCGTAGAAAGAAAGATATGAAGCGATTTTAATCTCTTAGTTTAAGGGAAGACAGGGAGTGTATACACCGACGCCCGACCACCACGTCAAGGTAGCAACAACGGTCGGGGTTAGCCTTATGAACATTTTATATATAATTAAGAGGTTTGATAAGAAATGAATGAACGAATACGTTGTACAATTTGACAATCACATTTTTATATACAAAATTTCGACATATACATGATGGGGTTACATACATTCTTTCACAAAGTAGGTAGGTACGACACAAAGTAGCACGTTTTTGTTACCGTTACAATATTAACACCATACGCATAAAGAAACCTGAACTATCGGTTCAAAATGACATTTTTAACACCTTTTTTCTAAATTCTGATTCACAGTTTTCACAAACTATCTCTCTCTATTATCCTAGAACTAATCATTCTACATTTCCAGGCATTTTTAAAAACTTACATCGTATGATGAGAGTTCTTAACAATATTATTCACTTTTGTCTGGTTTATATGGTCTTTCGATAATGCAATGAGAAGACGTAGTTTATCAGAATTATGTGATATATTTGCGCAATATATCACGAACAATCTGCTCACACCTAATATACTTGTTAAAAACATTTATATATGAAAATTAAAAGGTCTACTAGACAGGTTAAGGGTAAGTCATAACAAAGGAAAAAGTACACAAAAACAGGAACTCGGCTTTCACCATGAAGCGTCATAATTCTTCTAAAAGAAGACTTTCTAACTCCCAGGGCAGAGTAAAAATAGTTTGAATTATTTTTCTGGTAAGCGTTTTTTTAGCGAGTTAGTTTTCTATTGGATGGGGACGCTAACCCCATGCCTAAAGTCCTCCTTTACCCGGGCTTGGGACCGACAGTAACTCTAGAAGAGCTACAGGCCAAATTACAACACTACGGATCATCGTCGAACAATCAGTTGAATGGAACTCGTCACTATACATCAACTTCATTGATTATGAAAAGGCATTTAACAGTGTGGATAGGAGGACGTTATGGAAACTTCTACGACACTACGGAGTTCCTGAGAAGATTGTCAACATTATCCGGAACTCATACGACGGACTACAGTGCAAAGTCGTGCATGGAGGACAGCTGACGGATGCATTCCAAGTAAGGACCACAGTAAGACAAGGCTGTTTACTCTTTCCCTTCCTTTTCCTCCTGGTGGTCGACTGGATTATGAGGACCTCGACATCTGAAGGAAAACATGGAATACAATGGACAAATCAAAATCAATTAGACGATTTGGACTTCGCAGATGACATAGCCCTCCTATCGCATACACACGAACAGATGCAGACAAAGACAGCCAGTGTGGCAGCAGTCTCTGCATCAGTAGGCCTCAGCATACACAAAGGGAAAACCAAAGTCCTCAAATTCAAAGCGGAAAACAACAATCCAATCACTCTTGATGGCGACACTCTGCAAAATGTAGAGTCCTTCACATACCTAGGAAGCATCATCGATGATCAAGGAGGTTCAGATGCAGACGTAAAGGCAAGGATTGGCAAAGCAAGGACAGCATTCCTACAGTTACAGAACATATGGAACTCAAAACAACTTTCAACCAATATCAAAGTAAGAATCTTCAATACCAACGTCAAGGCAGTTCTACTGTATGGAGCTGAAACTTGGAGAACTACAACAACCACCATCAAGAAGGTACAAGTATTTATAAATGTTTGTCTAGACAAGATACTCAACATCCATTGACCGGATCCCATCAGCAACAGCCTTCTCTGGGAGAGAACAAACCAGCTTCCAGATGAAGAGGAAATTAGGAAGAGACGATGGAAATGGATAGGACATACATTACGCAAATCATCAAACTGCATCACGAGGCAAGCCCTAACTTGGAATCCTGAAGGGAAGCGAAAAAGAGGAAGGCCTAAGAACACATTACGTCGGATAATAGAAGCAGATATGAAAAGGATGGATAGGAACTGAAAGGAGCTGGAAAGGATTGCCCAGGACAGGGTTGGATGGAGAATGCTGGTGAGCAGCCTATGCTCCTTCACGAGGAGTAACAGGCGTAAGTAAGTAAGTAAGTAAGTACACAAAAACAAATGTGATTACCACTCTGGATAGTAAATCAGTACTACCAGGGTAGGTTAAGTGTAAGCACAAATTGTTTTTGAACACATAAAGGGGGTTTCAATTTTCGTATAGCCAAGGCTTCAATAAACCTTAGTATACGTCCTTGAAGGCTTTTGTACAAGACAACAAATGCTGATTTGATATCAACCTTATGACCCGTCTCAATCAAATGTTTCGCAATGGATGATGATGTCTGTCTATCCTGTGATCTTATTTTACCATTGGAATTCATCTGATTCTGCAACCATTTTGGTATATGTTCACCCACCCTTAATTGCAAATCACGATTGCTCTTCCCTACACACGTGTTTCCACACATACATGTAAATTTATAGACACAATGGGATGTGACACAATCATTTTCGTGCTGTTTGGGCTTTTGATGAAACATAGACCTTGTCTTTTCATAGTCATTGCCCTGTTCAATATAGACGCGGTTTAATAAAAAGCTTATTCAATAGAATCAATCGTCTTTGTACTAGTGATACTATTGAAGTAGAGATGATACTCTTGACTGATGCGTTAATCAATAATGGTTACTCTGTGAAGTTCATAAACCGCTGGAGGGGTTGCAATATGACCTATTACGCTTCTGGCACCCAAAAAGCGTTTATATTACGTTACCATTCAGAGGTGACACAAATAGAATCATGTTGAAACAGAGACTTAAATTACCTATCAACCGGACATTTTATGCAACCCAACTTGTCATTATCGAAAAGACAGGGTCTATGTTTCACCAAAAGCCCAAACAGCACGAAAACGATTGTGTCACATCCCATTGTGTCTATAGGTTTACATGTATGTGTGGAAACACATACATAGGGAGGAGCAATCGTGATTTGCAATTAAGGGTGGGTGAACATATACCAATGAGTAGAAAAATTAGATTTTATGACGTTTCGTGACTTAGTGTAAGTCACTTCTTCAGAGAATAAATAAATAACCAAATTAAAATTAATCCAAGTTTAAATAGTACAACGGAATAATGCTAGAATAATATTTGATCAATCAAAAACCGGTCTGGACAAGTTGATGTCATGTCATTTCTGTCAAGGTGATTCATAAGTGATATGTATGTAAATTTGTGTGTGTATGTATGTGTGCATTGTCTAAGAATGAAAACTTGTGTGACCTTTATGGTAAGAAAGGATAGAGTTGCAGAATCAGATGAATTCCAATGGTGAAATTAGATCACAGGATAGACAGACATCATCATCCACTGCGAAACATTTGATTGAGACGGGTCATAAGGTTGATATCAAATCAGCATTTGTTGTCTTGTACAAAAGCCTTCAAGGACGTATACTAAGGTTTATTGAAGCCTTGGCTATACGGAA